CGCTCCGCCCGCCCGGAAGCACCGGCGGCGCCCGGCTCCGCGCATGCGCGGCCCGGCGGAGGGGAGGGCTCGGGGCGGGCAGGCGGCGGCGATGCTACCGGTACCGGGGCTTCGGGAGCCCTCGACCAAGGGGACAAGACACGGAGGGGCCGTGATCCTTCCCCCCCCTCCCCGCCGCCGGTGAACTCGGCTTTGAAGGCGGGAGGGCGGTCGGTCTCCCCTCGGTGCCGCCTGTCGCGACAGGCGACCCGACAGCAGCCACCCGCGGCACACAGTGCAATCGCTTCATACCTTATTAAACCACATAATTACTGTTTGTGAAAACTTGCAGCTTTTCACTTTTTTATTAGGAAAAAAAAAAGCTCTCTAGCTTTTTTTCCCCCCCTAATAACATAAGTGATAAACCGCTGCTTTTCCTTGAACCTCTATGGTTACCATCGAGATTTTTCTTCTTTAAAAAAAAAAAGAAAATGTAAAAACAATACTGACTTTGAGCAAATAGATATTTATATTACAGGGAGCACCGGTGGTGGGACACACAGTCCCCGTCTCAGCAGCAGCCACAGAGCAGCAGATTCAGGAAATTGCATTGATTTTCTTCCATTAACAGAGAAGTTTCAACCAGAGCCATTAAAAAGACGTTGCCTTTAAAAAGCAGAATTCCAAAGGGGGTTTCCATAATGCCCCGTTTTCGCATGCACTAGATATGCTTACAAATACATATGCCTGAGTGAGATAAAAATGGGATTTAAGTGGCTTCTTCCCGACCACGAATGAAAAATACATAGTTCTGTAAACCTACTTTTGTTCATCAAAGCTGTTTGCAGCGCTCAACCGGGCTGGCGAGGGGCTCTTCGGGTGAGCCATCTGTCCAAACAGGAAAAAGACAAACTCAGTGCTAATTATGACCGAGATAAAAAATACAGTGTAATTATTACGAATGTCTTAACTGACATTCATCAAAGAAAACAGACACAGCAAAAAATAAAAGACATCATTAACCCTTGTATCTTGATGGCCTGCAAACTGGTGCTGTGATGTCAGAGATCACATTCAGGCACAAAAATAACCATTAAAAAAGCAACTTTTCTTCTCAACCGTTGTCAAACAACCTGGGAGATGGGCAATGGCATTTCCTTCCGTGGTTTCCTTACCATTAAAATGGGAATCAGTAAAACCAATGCCCTTATTTAGGGGTACTCGGGGCTTTTGGAGGAGAATTATGGAGAGACTGTGATTTAGGTAACACACCCCAACGGCACTGCACTGTAGGGAAAATAAATCAATATGAAATTCTATGGGTTTTAAAGTTTATCATTCCAAAGAGAGGTATCCCAACTTGCCTGAAATTTGCGCCGTAGTGCCTGTGTCATTATTGGTGTCAACCCAGTCCCACATTCCATGTTTTCTTTACTATTTAGTGGAGTGCCACCAGGGCTTCTGAAAAGATTGGAAACAAGGGGAATTATCATTTTTTTTTTTCCTATGTTTTCTGGAAAAAACCAAGCAAGAGAATAGAAAGGAACTTGCCTTTGTATGTTGACTTTCTTCAGATGTTTTCGAAGATCTAACTGATTTTTAGGAGGGGTACTAACAGAACAAAACAAATTGTTAAAATATTTTCCATTCTGTAAACAATGTTAATCGCTGTTTAGAATAGAAAAAAAAATCTAATATCTTACATTACAGTAAAATATCTTACATTAAGGAGTTTGCAGCATAAACTGATGGTTTGGATTTAGGCCTCAGAAGCAAATTGTTAAAATATTTTCCACTCTGTAAACAATGTTAATTGCTGCTTAGAATAGAAAAAAAGTCTAATATCTTACATTACAGAAAAATATCTTACATTAAGGAGTTTGTAGCGTAAACTGATGGTTTGGATTTAGGCCTCAGAATAACACTCTGTAAATCCGAGACTGTAATTAATGCCCTGCGTGTCTTTGCTGGTGACTCTGCCTAAAGTGAGAAAAGAAATGTTACCACAAATAACTGTTAGAAGGGCCTCATTAACCTTAACTCTATTTAATATTTATACTCTGAAAAGGTTTCTGTGGTGTATGGCTTTTATGCTTTTTGGAATCATTAAGATTTTAACATGCCTTTGACAAAAATAGATTTATTTTAAAAAAAACAACCCCAAACCAAAACACTTCCACAAACGAGATTTCAGCAAGGCAAAAGAAAGCATAAAATCTGTAACACAGGCGTAAGGCTACGTGTTTTTAATCCAAAATGAGGAGAACTATCCTGCACGCTGGCTGAGATTGGAGTTAGTCAATTTCTTCACTTTGAACGCCCAGGCATAGAATTAGAAGGATTACTTAAAACTGATCATTGGGTTTTTGGAAGAGAAGAATTAATTTATTGAAAAAAATTCTATGAGGGTCTTCACTTTGAACGCCCAGGCGTAGAATTAGAAGGATTACTTAAAACTGATCATTGGGTTTTTGGAAGAGAAGAATTAATTTATTGAAAAAAATTCTATGAGGGGCTAAGGGAAGAACTGCAGGAAATACATCACTTCCAGTGTGGAGTTTGCCCGACACACCATCATCCATTTATCCACGTGTCCTCCTCCGGTCATTGGGTTTTTGGAAGAGAAGAATTAATTTATTGAAAAAAATTCTATGAGGGGCTAAGTCAAAAGCTGCAGGAAATACATCACTTCCAGCGTGGAGTTTGCCCGACACGCCGTCATCCATTTATCCACGTGTCCTCCTCCGGTTTACCTTGTCCGTTCTCAGGTTGCTGTCTGTCTTCTTCAATTTAACGTTCAGGAGATCTTTGAGAGTGATCTGCATCGGCCCATCCTTCTTCAGTGGCGGTGCCTGAAAACAAAGGTGGTTGGAAGGGAAATCAGGATCATCTCAAAAGCTGCAGGAAATACATCACTTCCAGCGTGGAGTTTGCCCGACACGCCGTCATCCATTTATCCACGTGTCCTCCTCCGGTTTACCTTGTCCGTTCTCAGGTTGCTGTCTGTCTTCTTCAATTTAACGTTCAGGAGATCTTTGAGAGTGATCTGCATCGGCCCATCCTTCTTCAGCGGCGGTGCCTGAAAACAAAGGTGGTTGGAAGGGAAATCAGGATCATCAAGTGATGGAGCATTCAAAAAGACACCCGTTCCTGATCAAACCATGCCCAAAGAACCCCACCATGAGTCAAGAAAGAGAGGAACGTTTAGCTCCTACCAAAAGTGCTTTAGAACCGTTGCCCCGTTTGAGGAGGAGAGGTGCTGGAGGCAGTTTTGGTGGGGGCAGTGGTGGTGGTGGAGGTGGTGGCGGCGGCGGAGGAAGAGGAGGAGGGGGTGGTGCAGATAGAGGCTGCAGCTGCGTTGTAGGAGGCCCAGATACTGACGACAGCGAGTCCATCTGTGTTTGTGCAGGAGCACCCAGAGCTGGCTTATTACACCTTTGACAAAGGGAATTTTCTGCTGCAATTCCATTCATCTGAAAACAATATAAATAAATAAGAAAATATTAAATCCACTGGCAAAAGTGGATGGAATTTCACAGAAGAGAGATTCTGGCTTCAGTTGATCCAGAAAGACATAAAAAGAGCCTCTCATGAGGCTCACCAGCAAACCAGTTTCCTCTATGTATGAAGTAACAGCAGTTTAGTAATGCTGAATGCAAAGAAGAGGTGAAACACCGCCCAGTGAGAAGCCCTTCAGATTTCAGTTGATCCGCACTGACCACGGTTCCTTACACGCTCCCACAAGCAGACGTTACCCTGCCCCACTGGGACTGAAACTCACCTGGAGCCTTCCTTGTAGTCTGGAAAACTCAGCTTCCAACTTTTCCAGCTGCTCTCTGAACGTATTTAGCTCCCGTAAATATATTTGTGATGGAAATATGGTGTCTTTAACTACCTTAAAACTCTAAGCATAAAAAGAAACCAAATAAGTGTTTTCATCAATTTATGTTTCCAGAGACAGAGCTATGGTTACTATTGAAAGTTCTATCGCAAGGTCTTCTCATTGTAGTCAAGATATGAAATTTCACCAAATATTTCCTTGGCAAAAACCCAAGGAGTGACTTTCTCCAAAAAAACCTTTAACTTCACCTAGAAATTCTAAAGTATAATTCACATTTGACCTGATAAAAATCATACAATCATTTCTGCTGTGAAAGAAAGACTGCACCTTTAATCCACTGTAAATCCTTGTGATATTGCAATAACCCCCCTACAATTTCATGTATGCATTTAATGCCTACGGTGGCCTTCACACTCTTCTCATACTTCAGCAGCAAACACAAAATACACTTTGGATATTTCAGTAGATGTAAGTAAATTTATGGCTTAGTTCTCAAATCTGACTGCATATCCTGCACCTGAGTGCTAAGAACAACCTTACACATTGGCAAAAATAGAGAAGTAGAAAACTTACCTGTGCAACCGTGTTCTGGCACCAACAATACAAAAATGATGCTGTTGTTGTAAAGGGTTTTACCACATTTTTTACGCTGGGCAAGGCTAATGACCAGAGTGAGGACAGATGGCTTGGGGCAGGTGACGCGTTTGGAGGAAGATCACCTGCTGACCTGGGACAGAACATCACAGAATGCAGTCAAAATTATATCTATAATTTCAGCCTTCAAAAAGGTTAACTGTGACCAATCATCTGGAAATGACAAGTACCAGCAAGAGCAGGTGACAACGGTGTAAACATGAGCAGAGAGACTAGGAAAGACTAAGATACATTTCAATAAAGGAGGGAAGGAAATCATATTTGCAATATGTTTTTATCCAAACTGCTTTTCCTGCATGTTAAAGTTAACAATAGACACAGTACTAAAAGATACACAAGATTAAACAATTCCACAGCATCCGTACCAGGATGTAGAAACTCCAAATGCAATTCTGTTTCCTCAGTTCCATGAGCAAGCAGCAGACCCAGAAACTGAGCTAAAGGGAAAATGTCCAGCTGAGTCTCTTACCGTGGAGAATGACAACTGGAACCCTGGCGGTTTGGATTTGCAGCATCTCCTTTTTTTCCCCGTAGAAATTTTGCTCTGGCTCCCCTTTTCCGCCGGCATTTCTTATATTTTGCCATTACTGTTAAAAAGACACAGTTTAAAATGAATGGATAGAAAAATACACACTTTCACATGGGGACAGAGCTGTGAGAAATCGGTAGGGAGGACATGGACTGCATCTCAAAAAATCAAAAAGTTATTCACAGTTGCCTTGCTAGAATCACAGAACGATATGGGGTTGGAAGATCATCTAGTCCAACCCCCTGCCAAAGCAGGTCCACCCAGAGCAGAGCCCACAGGAACGTGTCCAGATGGGTTTGAATGTCTCCAGAGAAGGAGACTCCACCACCTCCCTGGGCAGCCTCTTCCAAGGCTCTGCCACCCTCAAGCATTAGAAGCATTAGATAAAACCGATAACAAAATACATACTTAAGTTCCTATGATCTGCTGGGATGTATTTGTACACGAGAGGAGCGAACAATTAAAAAGCACCATTTCATATGGACTTTTGTTAGTTTTTCCTTTATCCCGTGTGGTAGTTTGGGCCAGACTGGCCACTGAAATGAAGGACAGATGCCCCAAGGAGAGGAGCGAGGGAGAGACATCCCGAAGTGACAACGCATTTTGCGGAAATCACGTTTGTGGAAAACTTAGGCAAAAAAGGTGAGGACACCACAGAGAGAGGGCCCAGGACTCCCCTGACCACGGGCGCTGCCTCAAGCTTTACCTCAAAAACCGCCCCTCGAGCCTCCCCGCTCCCCGGGTAGCGGCCGGTGCCTCACACACACCCCGCTATCCGAGCCTGGGGACACACACACACGGTGTGAGGTGTCACTAGTGACCGCGGGGCCGCCCCGTCC